ATGGGTCTATGGATTCGTATCCGATTATCTGAGTTAGCTTTTTTGACTTCTTTGGGCATTCACAGACATGCTTTGGGAGGTGGGAGCACTTCAATTAGCACAGCTCAGATAGTCATGCTAATTAAAAGATCCTGGAAGGGTCATGTGTATCAGCATCCCCGTGCTGAAAAATTGCGGCGGGGTGCTTTGAACTAAAGCCTGTTGAATGAGATTCAGTTTAAAGGTCCTCACTGCCATTTTTCAGAGCAGGGACACTAATACACATAACGCTGGAGTCTGCTGGAGTGCAGTAATTACCTGCTCCAGAAGACTTGATTAACTGAGTCACAGAGCATTGGAGCCGCCCCCTGAATGTGTGTAAGAGCCCTATGTTCCTATCGGTTTACTGCATGTTTGCTTGTCTCTCCCAGCACTGCCCCCCTCCCATTCTCCCTCTATCATTTTCTCCCTCTTCTTCTCTCCCTTGACTTTTGTATTCTAATTTCTCTCTCCTTTTAGGACATGCAGAAAGTGGAGTATTTCACAGCTTGTGAACTTCAGCTCATGAAAATTTGTGACATATATAAAATTTGTGATATTTGTTAGTCTGTAAGGTACAAATCTACCTGCTTTCATCGTATTATCGTTAGAGGTGATGCCGTGAGGACTGCTTGGAATATGCCAAGATCTGTATCAACACTATGTTCCATTACATATTCTTTTTGCACTACATGATATAGATAATTTTCAACAGACCTTTTAAAACACATTTTTACTATTGTCTCCTTCTTTGCCTAGTATCTCACTTATTCCCTAGGTATTTAAATGCTGCAGTTAAACTAGGTTCCCATAGATGTGCAAACGCAAAGGTATATTGTAGCAGATATGTGCCTTTTTCTAGAAACAATCAGAATTTTGTACTTAAATCTCCAAAATTTAATGACAGGATTGTAAAATTGATGTCTTGATTTTTTTTTTCCTGGGTAGATGGGTCATTTATATTGCTCTCTTTGTTAAAAAACATACAAACAAAACACCCCTTTCATCTTCTCTGATTTTGGAAACAGAGTTGTGTTCTTTGGTTCAAAATAGCAAGGACCACTGGTTTACATTTTATCACAATCTTGTTGAACTGCATTAATCCCAAAATAGAGTCTTCTCTCTACTGGTCTATTTTTATTACCTGCTCCTCTCTAATCTCATCTACTGTACTGAGTAACTGATTTCATTTATGCTACTGATCTCATTTACACTGCTGAGACCTGAAAGCAATTTCCCTGGAGAACAAATGGGTTGACACCAGTGTGAGATAAGACTCTCATAGCATTGCCATTTTGTTGTGATCTGGAAATCCTCCCTGGATCTCCTGTTATCCTGAAGAATCCCCATGTTTCTACTTCTTCCCTTCCAGTCTGTAGTAAGAGTTAACAGACTTCATCAGTCATCAAGATCATTTTAAGGGATTTTATGTCCCATGCCTGCCTATCAGATGGTTCTATTATACCATTTGCTTTATTATGGGGTTACTATATTTAATTCTGCCAGTAAGCTTTCCACTAGGTTATTTTTTTTTAAAGATTGTGCGGTGCTTCTTCTCCACCCTTCTTTACTTCTTTTTTTCATTCTCTCCTTTATTATTCCATATACTGCATTTTTTGCTTTATACTTTTTTTTCCCTCTTCCTCTGTTGTCCCTCTGACTTAGTGGCTGATCCAAAGCCTCGTAAAGTGAATGGAAGTATTTCTACTGATTTCAGTAGATTTTCGATCCAGCTCTTATATTCCTATTGGGTGCAATGCTTCCATATTTCCTCTTTTTGCTCCATTCCTCTTTCTTTCCTGCATGGTTTTCTAATTAAAGAGTGAACTGACTACACTTCCACTCGTGAGGAACCACATGGCATGTCAGAACTTCAGGCAAAGGCTGCCCCACTAAATGAATTGGACCATCTGCAGAATTTGATTCCTGGAGCTCGTACACTAAAAGCATGACCCTTTACTGCTGGGTCTAGGAGAATAATTTTAGTGCCTGGCAGCTGTAGAGGAGAGAAGAAGCATTCTGCCACTATGAATTTTATAAGCAAAGCAAGAGCATTGGAAGGTATCACTCAGCATTGATGATCATTAGTGGTGTCAATGGCAGAGAGAAAGAATCTTTTTCCCAGTCGATCTCTCTCTTTCCCCTCCGCATCCCACCCTCCACATTGTAAACATACACAACACACGCATGATTTCACAAATTAAAACTCACATCCAAGAGCACACATGCACTTCTCCACGTGTCCCTTCAAACTTCAAGCCCTTAGTATATGGCCATTTCGTCCCAGCAACCATGTAAGGCCCAACCCTGCAAAATTCTGGGCAAACAGAAATTGATTCTAACAACAGCTGCAACCAGAGTTTCTGTTGCTTTCAGTGTGGACAAGTTGGAGATTTTATAAGAAACCACTGAATCCCAACTCAAGAACTGTGCCTCTGGCTTATTTTCTAAACTGAACCAGCTTCCTCTGGATAAAACAAGGAGTCCCTAAGTTGTTTTTTGCAACCACGCTTTCCCACTTAATGGGGTGGGTCCCATAATTGTCCTTGTTCATAGAAAGCAACTGAAGTGGAAGAAAAATTATCATTAAACAATCCTCCTGGAGATCTTCCTAGGAAAGCCTCAGGACTGAGCAGGGGGGAAATGCAGTCTCCACAGCTCCACTTGACTGTCCAGAGAATTAAGGTTGTCATAGGAATGCTAACAAATGCATTTTCTGTCAGTGGGCAGTTTGCTGGCTGCTCTAGAGCCAGCAGTTGAACATTATGCTACCTTGAGATTACCCAGCCTTTCCTTCAGCTGCTCAAGCAGCTGCTCAAGCAATCAACACTTACTTATTGGAAACCTGTTTTTCCCCAGGAAGGCTGCTGTTAGTGATTCTGCACCTGCCCTGGCATCTGGGGACTCCCTGCAATAGCTCCACACAGTTCAAGGTCTTCTATTATCAGAAGAAGCATGGTCCACTGCTTAGAGCATTCATTGCTCAGGAGACTTGAGTGCTACTTCAGGCTCTGTCACTAACCTGTTGCATGATGTGTAAAGCAAATCCTTTCATCCTTCTGTTCCCTTCCCATCCTCTATTTTGTCTGCCTAGCAAGGGGTAGATGGTACACCCTGTGTTATGTATATGTACGGTGTCTAACAGAATGGCACTCTTCTTTTATTACACTTTTATTCTGCAGTAGCATCTAGAAGCTCCGGTCATGAATGATTACCTCCTTATGCTATGGGTTTTACAAACATATAACAAAGATAGTCCCTGCTCCAAACACCTTACAGTGATTGCTGTATCAGCTACTGCAATACAAGCAACGACCATAACGTGAGCATAGAGCAAGGTGGGCAATTATTTGGGCTGGAGGGCCACTTAGGGAGTTTTGGGGAGCTGTAGTGGGCTGTGTAGTCCAGCCACTGCACCGCCCCAGCCCTGGAAGGCGGTACAGGTACATCATTATTCAGCCTGGAGTCAGGTTCTTCCACTCTCCATCACAATTTGTTCTCACATTGACAGACAGTCCCACTGAAGGGTGTGGGATCTAAATAAGATTTGGCCTGAGGTGGCAGGACCAGCTGCATGTGCCACAGCCTGGGCTGCCCCTCCGCCCCTGGGCCAAATGCAGCTGAGGGACCCGCCGTGGGCTGGACAAAATCCCCTGGTGGGCTGGATCTAGCCCGCAGACTATATTTTGCCCACCCCTGGCATAGAAACGTTTAATGGGATGGTTATTAATCCCTCTTCAATAAGAAGTGCAAGATAATGGATACAGCCTTGTTCCTGTTCCCGTCACCCTGAGCATCATCCTCATCCCCACCCAGGAATCATATTCTGTCCCTTTTTAGGGTCTGATCTAGACCCACTGATAGCAGGGAGTTGTCCCAGGAAGTATGCTGGAGGGCGATACTTCCCCAGCTTCTAACCAATGCATAACAGAGTAAACTTACTCCATAGGAAATGGTGGAAATACAACCAGCTCTCCCCAGTTGGCTGCCATACCCAGTGCCTGGCCCCTGGGTGGCGAGACAGCCAGGCTGCATTGAGCAAAGGGCAAAGGGTGACAGTGGGGTGAACAGACTGCTGGTGCACTGATATTACTTACACCGGCATGTTGTTACTCCTCACTTTTTGGAGGATAACTTTGCCTTGGAGTGGAATGACTTAACACTGACATAAGGCTGTAGATCGTGTGTCCATTTGGCTTTCATTGCAGAGTAGTCAGTTTACCCTGAAGGAAATGTGTCATGTGCCTGCAGCCAGGGACAGAGGACTAGGGATGGCATGTGCCACCTCATGCAACCGGCGTTTAGTTTTAATTGTGTGACTATGTCTTAATGCCTTTCTGAATGGGATACTTCACTTGGTCACTTCAGGGAGAAAAATCCTGCCCGATTTTTGGCCACACTCTCATGAGACATCAGAGTCTCTAACCTTATTTAAGTCCCACACCCATCAGCGGGTCTGTTTGTGAATGTGAGAACAAATCGCGATGGAGAGTAGAAGAACCTGACTCCTGACTGAACAGTGAGGTACCTGTAAGCAGGACAATAGGAAGATCCAGCCATTGACAGAACCACTGAATGGAGGGAGATGGGCATTTGGATGATGGTTCCCATGAGCCCGTGTGGGACTGTTTTTGTTTCCACTGTTGGAGCTGTGTGGGTCACATTGTTCCTGAACTGTCAGCGTGTTTTTTTTATCTGCAGCCGATCAGACATCCTCAGATGTACCTGTTCTGCAACCCCCACTTCAACCTCCCCCCCGCTCCACGAGCCCAGCTTGCTGTTGCGTGTGGCTATTAGCTCTTTACATAGGCAAGATCTGAGCAAAGCTGCATATTTCCCCACCAAAACTGTGTTAACATCACAGAAATAAAAAGGATTGTGAGTTAGACAGTGGGAATTGTGTGCTGCTCAGAGGAAAGAGTGGAGCAGGTCCTCCATACACTGCCTACTTGCCCGGATGAGCAAACCCACTGCAATACAGGTTTCCCTTGCCAGCTGCTGGGGTTAGGTTCCTGAAAGTTTTGGTGGTTGGCAAGGCAAAAGGCTTATGGGGAAAATGGCAGGTGGCGGGCTGATATGCAGCCATGGAAAACCGTGATTACTCAAAACTGTACACCAAAATGGCATATAAGATACAACCTCCCACCCTGCATCACCTCTTCTCCTGGACTCACTATATGGAGAATGAACCTGCCTTCACCCCACAACTGTCCCGTCCCCATGAGGGTAATCTGCCCCGCAAGGGCATGAGGAGGAATGGTTCTGTTCACTCCCCTGCCTGTCCCTCATCTCTGCATGTTACACAACTTCTTAAGGGCCAGACTTTCGATCTTAAGATCACCAGGGCAGCGACCGCTTCTTCCACCATATGCATAGATGTCTGCACATAACAATAGTCCAGCAGGGACTTGATAATGATGAGAGCATACATATATCATTGCAACAGGGATAACCAGGAGCCAGTGTTTACATGGTATTTGCCAGCTTCAGGACAGGTGTGGTAGGGAAGATGCTTGCTAGGTACCTTAGCCAGGTAATGAACTGGGCTAATAGTTATTTAGATTAACTGAAATAGGTCCCAGCCATTGCTCTAGACACATGTACAAGTTGCATTTGCCTTAAGGTAAAAGTACTGGCCAGATGGCACGGCATAAGGGAACAGAGGGGTTTCCAGAACTTTTTTGCCCAGCATGCCCCTTGTCAGCAATCAGCTAGCACCCCATGCCTGAAGCTTTCTGGGCTTCTTTCAAAAGGACCTTTGCTCCTCAGTGGTCCAGTAAAGAACGTGGGCAGCTGGCTCTGCTTGTCCCTAATAAGCCATGTGCTGTAGTCAGTCAGGAAAAGCCCTGAGGCTCATTTATTTGCTTTGTCCCTCTTCGTCTCGGAGGAAATGGGACTGGAACAAATAGGAACAATCAGCAAAACATAACCCGCAGTTTATCAACAAGCAGTTCCAGAAGGCACTCACTGCCTGGTTCCCACTGAGATGCCTGTTCTCCTTTTCAGACACTTTCCCATTAACTTGATGGCTTAACTTGCTGCAGAGAAGCTCTCAGTCATTAGTAGCCATTGGCAACCAACACCTTGCTGCTAAGAGGATGCATTTGGCAGAGCTGTGAAGCAGACGCCCCCCCTCTTTCTCCTCCACTCCACTACTCCCCACCCCAAGCAAAACTCCAGGTGATCTCTCCCTGTACTTGATGCCCACTTTGTTCCTCAGTTCCAAGAAGACTTGTGACTGGCTCAGCTGGGAATACCACACTATTGTCTGCCTTTCCTCCGCCAACTCTTTCTTTCACCCATTGCCAGCTGCTCTGTGTAACCTAGAGGGGGGGGAAAAAGCCTGAAAAATTAATAAACCCAGCAATGGGCTCTGAAGATGCACACAATGATTGTAAGTTTGGCTTTGGAGTTTTCTTGCTGCGGTGATTCTTTTAAAATCTTTTTTATCGCAAATGCATTCCTGTCATTGGAGGGTTTTATTCTGGACCGGTTTAGACTGGGGTGATCTTGCCTTGAGTAGGGGGCCAGACTAGACGGCCTTACGAGTTCCCTTCCAGCCCTGATATTCTAGGATTCGAACATGTCATTATTTCTGCGCCTGGAGGATGCTTTGGTGGGAAAAGTAGGGTTAAATGAAAAATATGGTATTCATTTTAAGAAAAGAAAGAACAAGAACACGCTGTGTGTTGCAGCCAAGGTGAATGTTTGAAATATTAATGCCATTGCAGCAGGCCGGTTGACAGGTGATGGTACGGCTTTGGCTTGCTCTCGTGACTCTCTTTTGTTCCCCAATAAGACGATCTTGTTTATTTATGCCTGAAGCAATTGTATTATGAAGAAAACGGAAGTGTGAATCATTAGAGAAAACAATGGGCAGGTAATGAGCAGAAGCGGTGGTCTTTCTAAACCAAGAATCGCTAGCTCAGCAGTAGGGAAGGGAAGGTTTGATCAAATGTTTCCTCGCAGATAGGAAGAGAAGGGTCTTGTTTTCCTTGGCTTCTCTTTTTTGTCTCCGGGCAACTTCAGTGAAAGCACAGCCCCTTGCCAGTCTAGGAACAACAGGATGTGGTACATCCAAGTTCAAGTCACATCAACATTCGGTGGCAACACACTTAGTGGCTTTGCATTTTCTAAAGCAAAAAGTTTCTTCAAGAGAAGAAGCTGATAAAGTGGTTACTAGCCATGGGGATGACAGAGGTAATGAAGGAAGTGGGACCCGCATTCCGGTATAGCAAAATAGAGCATTGTGAAGTGATGATTTAGGGTAGGTTTCTCAAGGTGATCATCTATTTCTGCCCCCAGATATATTGTTCCTACTGAAGATATTAGCCAATTGTCTTCCTGAATTCTTTTAAAAATGCTGCCCCAAATATATATACAGGCGACCCTTGCCATTTGCGGGGGATACGTGCTCGTATCCCCTGCAAATGGTGAAATCCGTGGATAAGGCACCGCGTTCATGAACGCAGTACCCCCGGCAGCTGTGGGGGGGCACAGCGGTGGTGGCAGGAGTCCGGCAGCAGAAAGCTCCCAAGGAGCTCCAGTAAGTGTTCAAAGTGTATTTAAACTGCGGGTTCAGCATTCATAAATATTTGAAACGACGAATGCTGAACCCGCAAATAATGAGGGTTTCCTGTATATATGATTCCATAATAGTTTACGTAACTAAAATCAGGATCTCTATCACCGGGAAGCCACAGAGAGGCCATGACTCCTGTGAATCCCTAGAGATCCCAGTGCCATTTCATAAAGGTCTCTAGAGGCAGCTTCTATTTTGTTTCCAAGAGCAGCCGGTCAGAGAGAGGGAAGAAACAAAACCTGCACCCTCTCACTGAGACCTTAGGTTGTTCCTTTCTAAATTTGTTTTTCTCTTAATGCAGAGCCAGGGCCATCTTGAAAGTCGGGTTGGTTTTTTTTGCATGTGCAAATCTCTTTTCCACTGTGGTGGAGCAGGAGACAAATGGCAGCTGTCATGGAAAGAGACCAAAGGATTCGGCTATTGGCCGTGTAAAAGAACAGGTAGCATTACCAGACTTTGAAAATTCAAGCCCTGTGCACGTGTGTGGATGTGCGCACTGCATAATACAGACATGTAGCCAAAGTTAATGTTCTGTAAGTTAGTCAACATTTCAGAATGAATCCCTGTAGATTTTACTTTAATGTTTCATCAGATGACTGTAACCTTGAGAGTCAAATGCTTGACAGGTACATCTAATTACCTTACTACGCGGAGATAACGTCCAGGTTTGCTAAATGGAATCTCGGCAACCATGCCTAAGCAAACGGATGCGCCGCTGTCGTTATGTCTAGTTTTAGACTGTCTCAAAACTTAACTGTTAAAATGACGCGGCTCAACAATGAGTTGTCACTCTGTAGTGTAAAAAAGCACTCGGTACCTCAGTTTCATGGATCAGCATTTGTGATTCTTAGTTAAATCAGCAAGCATGGAATAGTTTTGTGGGCAGAAGTAAATAGGGCCTAAAATAAAGGACAGCTGTTGTAGTGTAAGAAAATTAAGAAATACATTTTTTGGCATAACTTGTGCTGCGCTTTTCTGATGAGAACTATCTGAATTTTGCCAGGCAAGTCAGAAATTAAATGCTGAATGTCGCCAGCAGCAGACATTATTAATCACCAATGCTGTTGGGTAGCTGATCAAAACGTGATGACTTGCGTGCTTTTTTAGGGAGTATTTCGTTGTCTTTTTTGTTCATTATGAAGTCAAAAACTGTTGGACTGAGAAATGATCACGTTTAGATTTCTTTTATGTTAAATGTGTCACTGAAGCAGCAAAGTGCTTTTTATGTTTCTCTGTTGCCCAAGGCACTTCTTAAAATCTCTTCTCATGAGCTAGTTTTCCCAAATGTCTAGAAAAAAGAAAAGCTTATTCCCAGTAGATTGATTTATAAGCACAGCCACTGGTTTTTAATATGCATTCTGATTTCCCTCCCCGCCCCCCGCTTTAGATGAAAGAGACTTATGCTGTGAATATTACTGGTGCAAAAAAACAGTTTTTATTCACATTGACTCATACAGTTGTGGAGTCTGGAGAGGGAAATGACTTATTGGATCATAGAGGCCATCCTTTGGCTATTACGGGACTGTCATCTAGAATATATACTGTTCTTTATCTAAGCCAGTCCAATGTAATTTGAGTGATGTACCCTAAAACAATGCTCCTGCAGAACAATTCCACAGCCTTAGAGTTCTTATATTGACCTGAGAAATGGGGGAAAAATCTTCTAAACTCTGTTTTAAGTTTCTGATCATACCCCTCCTACCACCATAGTTCATAGTCAGAGCATATACTTCCTATTTCTTTTCTGGGTGGTGCTGTCAGGTAACTGCTGCAATTTTGCCTTGCGTGCAATGGACCTTTACATCTCTAAGGCTTCTGTGGTGCCAGACACTGTTCTACAGTCATTTTGCTCTCATAGGCTGATGGGTGAGAGGCTTACACTGGATGCTCTCTCCTGGAAACTTTGCTTTGGTTACTTGGTTTCTTTCCTGAATCTAAAATGTTTTCTTTGAAAGCCCATTTGCTGTGTAGATCTGGTGTCCCTCGCCCCCAATTCCTCGTATGCACCCTTGTCATCTTTTGCCCACGCATTTAGGTCTCTGGAATCTTTTTTCTTGTCATTCATTTTCTTGTAATTTGGCTATAGTCATGTCATTGACTCCTTTCTGCAGTCCTCCAATCCATAACTTCATGCAGTCCCATAGAGAGGAACTATTGTGTCGTTGGTCCAAAGCGATATTTGTTTGCATGCACAACCTCAAGTTCCAGCATATTTTTGTACAGTTCTGAATAAAAACATGTGGTTGCCTGAAATTAGTTTCTTAAGTCAGGGCAGGCAGGAAAGGGTGTAAGTCAGCACATAAATTGTTTCTAAATGTCTCATATTAGATAAGTGGCTTGGAGACTTCTTTGGTGTTTTTAATCAGAACTGAAATTTTGACCCTGGCTTGAAAATAACTTTAGACTCTTGTAAAGCCAGATAAGCAATTTAGTTACCATCTGGTATCTGACCCTCACAAAAGTGTTTTATTTCTCATTGGAAAACTGTGCCACAAAAAACAGCAGAACTACTTGCTTAGGTCAGCATCGTCTTTACTATTGTATATTTTCTCGTTTCCCTAGATACTTCAGTTTGTCTAAGACAGCAAAACTCCTCAGAAAGGTGCTGACTGTCCCTCTTCCCTTTATAAGGAGAAGGGTCAAATTAATTTGCAAAACTGTTCACCTGGCTCAGTTCTTCATTCTCCAGGCTGATGGAGCTCAGGCATATTATGGAACTGCTATGGCTGTGTTCATCATCTGGTGCAGAGAAGACGGCCAATTCATAATACAGCATCAGGTTTACAGCAGAAGAGGCCACTTGTTCAAAATTTCAGCTAATGGATAAAATGTTGCCATCCCAAATGGTAAGGGTGGGAGAGGAAGTGGCATGGGGACAGATTTTCCAGAACAAGTGGGGTCTCCAAATGCACCAGTGCAGAACAGGGCTGAAGACAGCAAAAGATGGAGAATCCAGTTGGAGTACTCAAAGACAGGGAGAATCCAGGGTGATGTGACCTGGGAAACGGGGGCTAGTCCAGTAACGCAACCACAGGCAGAAAGTATCTTGCAGTTGAGAATCATATTCAGCTTTTTACTAATCCACTGCCTAGTTTTATGTAGTCTTCTGCATATATGTTTGTCCCAGCCCCCAACACTCATCTGCATGTCCTGGGAAACTACCCTTGAGTATTCTCAATGATTCACTGCAATATTTCTCAGCATTTCGCTTGTAGCCACTTCTGCTGGGCATCTGATATTTTTATTTTCATGTGCCTTGGTGGTCACTGGGGACAGGCACCAGTGTAATTTAAGTAGTTTGCTTGGGGGACTTGGTAAAAAACTTCAACCATTGGCACCTAAGCCCATTGTGAAGCACTTGATTAGTTGTCCTGAGTTTCATGTCATAAGTACCAGCAGCTCCCACTGATGTGAACGGCAGCCACTGGAGTTCAAGTTCTCAGAAATTGAGTACTTTATTTAGGGGCCTAAGTTTACATACTAAAGTTTGAAAATTTTGTCTATTCACCCCTCCCCTCCTCCCCCCACTTCCACCCACACACCATTTCTCCAAACACTAGGGAGAGGTAGTTAGCCATGTTTAGTCTGAAGTCAGGCAGAAGGGAGGGAAAGTTGGCACCTTGAAGCTTAGCTAGTTCAGAGAGACATGAACTTTCAGAGATCTAATGAAGTCTGCTGCTACCTATGACAACTAATTCATTCTTCCAAAACTGGAAGACAGGCCTTACAGCATACCATGAGGGACAGCAGATACATGACACCTGGTCTCTACATTACAATTGATGTTAAAGCACACTGCTGTTGGCACTCTCACCTCAGAGACTAAAAAAGGCCTTTCTGCTACTGCTGGATGTGAGAAACCTTCCCTATGTGAATGAGGAGTCTTTCAGGGAGCCACAGATGTGGTGAAACTCAGCCTTCTCCTAATCTAGGAGTGGGCAGTTATTTCGGCTGGAGGGCCACTTACCGAGTTCTGGCAAGCTGTTGAGGGCTGCATGGGTAGCTCTGCCCCTTGACAGGTGCCCCACCCCCTGGTCACCATCCTGTGATTGGAAGTCCCGCACCCTAGCCTCTGACCTTTGCCATCAGAAGTCCCTCTCCTTCCCCCAAAAGTACTCCTTTCAGCAAGGGGTTTTGCCATCTCAGAACAGAAAAATACAAATTATTCTAAAAAAGCGAACATCTACAACATTCATTAATTGATTTCAAAAAATATTTTTGTCCTGTTTACATGTGTCTGCGTAGTGCACATGAGGTGATTCATAGATTCATAGATGCTAGGAGTGGAAGGGACCTCAACAGATCCAGTCCGACACCCTGCCTAGCCAGGAAAGAGTGCTGGGGTCAGATGACCTCAGCCAGATGCCTATCCAGCCATAGGCCAGGCAACTGCACGTGGGCCAAACAACTGCCCAGCTATGTATGAGTGCACACAGTGTGTAATTCCAAGATAACTTGACATCTAATATCTTAACAATATAATAGCTTAAAATTAAGTCTTACTCTTGGATATCGTGGGGCAGTAGGGGCATGGGGGTGGGTAAAGCTTTGTGGGGTGCTGTGGGTATGTGGGGTGTGGGGAAGGGTGTGGGTGTGTCTGTGGGGGTGGATAGGTAGGGGTGAAGGAGCATATGGATGTGTGTGTGGATATGTGGGGTGTGGGTGGGTATGGGGTTTGTGGGGGAGGGTGGCTGAGGTGTGTGAGGGGGTGTGGGCATGGGGAGTCTGTGTGTATGGCAGTGTGAGGGGGCACATGGGTGCATGTGTATGGTGGGTGTACGTGTGGGATGCACCCTATGAACACATACACTCTGCCCTTCCCTTCCCTACACTCTCTCTCTCTCTGCCCCTTCCTACACACACACACAATCACACTCACAGACACACACACCCTGGTGTAGCTCCATGCTCCTGCGGTTTGGCGATACAGTAAGAAGCCACGAGGTGCCGGAGCAGTGTGGGAGCAGGAAAGCAGGGAAATGGCTGGTGGTGGGGCAGGCCTGGGCTGCTCAGTCCTTCTGGCTCTCCATGGGTCCTACTGCCCTGCCATCTTTGACAGGCAGCCAGGAGCAAATAAATATTAATTTACTAAATTTTTTAGGGGCCCTGCAGGCTGGATAGAATCATCTGGCAGGTTGCATCCAGCCCATGGGCCATATTTTGCCTGCCCCATCCTAATCTCTGCTGCAAAGGAGTTTTGGTGTCTGGGACTTCACAAATAAGCGTATTCTGCCTATGCCTCCTCAGAGTCTCACTCTAGGGCATGGGTGGGCAAAATGCAGCCTAGGGGCTGGATGCGGCCTGCCAGGCCATTCTATCCGGCCCACGGGGCACCCCCAAATTAAGAAAATTAATATTTATCTGCCCCGGCTGCCTGTCATGCAGCACTCAGTGGCTTGCCAAAACTCAGTAAGTGGCCCTCCACCCAAAATAATTGCCTGCCCCTGCTCTAGGCGCTGTCAGGCAGCATTCAGACTGACTGTAGCTCCTGTAATGGTGTGCAGATGACTTGGACCTATCCCAGTAAAGTTATAGTCAGACCACAATGAATATTGAGCCAGTGGGGAGCATTTCCTTGGCCAGAAGTGATGTGGCAAACAGGTGGAGTTGAAGGGAAGCCCTTTTTATTAAGTATCACATTGCAATAAGGGATATTTTAGGTTACATGTTAGGAAGAACTTTCTAACTCTGAGAGTAGATAAGCACTGAAACAGATTACCTAGGGGATCCCCATTACTGTAAGTTTTTAAATGCAAGTTAGATGCATCCTTGTCTGGAATGGTTTGGCAGTGGTGATGCAGACTTGAGCGGTGGTTGGACTAGATGACTCCTTGACTGCAGCCTTATTTTCCTATGATTCTGTAGCCAATAGCTAGTGTTATATGCTGAAGCTAGAGAGATTTATGTGCAAGCCTCATGGGTCTATTTTATGCTTTTAAATCTTCTGGCACCTTGCCAGGCTAGGTCTTTCCCAAAATCTGAAAGTGTTTGTCCAGTTTCACTCACCATATTGTGGGGGTCGTCCAAAATATTTGCTTTCTCCAGTCCCTGTAAACTTTGGAAGTCAGCTCCTGGAAAGCAAACTAAGACTGTTTTCCACATGACCTTTCCTGTATGTCCTGGGCAGGATGTTTTTGCAGGCACCATGACTAGAATCTCATTAAAGGGGAAAGAACCAAGCTTTCTGAGGCAGTCCACCCCATCCCATGGCATCTCCTAGAGAAGAGTGAGTACTGGAGGCCTCCAGAGAGAGAAATGGCCTTTCAGAAAAGGAAAGAGACTGCTTCTGACCATCCTCAAGATGAGGGACATACATTACACATAAACTGGTTTAAGTGATCAGAAACTGGTATAAACATGTAACAGGACAGATATTCAGTGCACATAAACTGGTTTGAAAGTGGCTGAAACCAGTTTCAGATAAACCTGGCTGAATGTAGTATCAGACTTAACTGATTTGAGTCAAACTGGTTTATGCATTGTTTGTCCCAGACCCCTTGCTGGTTTAAGTTAAATCAGAGTCCCCCAACATCCTGGCATGCTCTCCAGGCTGGGCAAGGCTCTCTGCTCTACAGAAGGGCTGGCCACTCCCCTTTACTCCCTGGCTGGAGCTTTGGCAGAGACTGCAGGTGTCTGCCTGGCTTGCCGGTCTGTGCTGTGGGAGACAGGATGAAGAGAGACTGGACAGGCTTAGAGCTCCTTGGAGCTAATCAACAGGTAGTATGTAATGTCCCTCCTTCCTTGGAACAAGTTGTTTAAGAAGAGTTTGAACTAATGAGAGATCCATTTGTTTTAGTGATGGGGTGATAAATGCTGTGTGAACCCCTGCTGGCTCCCTCACTGACCAGTGAGGGGGGGAACCCCTCCCTAATCATAGCCTCCTGCTAGGGCCTGGCCACATCCCCCCTGAGCTCAGCTTTGTGGAAAGGAAGGGAGGGCTGCTCTAGTGCCACCAGCTTCTAGCCTGAGCCACTGTAGGCATGTGCCAGCATTTTTTCAGTCCAGAGGGCATGTCTTTGTGGTTACATACTGATTTAGCCTAGGCAGGTTAGACTAACCTGCAAAGATTGAATCAATTCAGGCTCAGGGTTTTTGAATGTCTGTCCATAGGAGTTTTGTATCCAGTTTTAAATACCCAAAGCAATCTGGATTCTACCACTTCCCTTAGGCTAGACTGTAACAGTCCTCACTATTGAGAAGCTCTTCCTAGTATTTGGCTTCCTTCCTTCTTTTGTTGACATTTGTCCCATTACTCTACATTATACCCACTTCCTACTAGGCAACAGAGCAGTTGGCCACATCTCTTCAGAGCACAGATCTGAATCCTAGTGCTGTATGAGATGCTTAGATAGTTGCAGTTAAGGAGAGGAGCCTGCAAAACATTCAAAGCTGTGGGCCTGACTGTTCCTAGGAGCAGGAACAGAAGACAGGACAAATGGGGAGTCATTTAAAAAAAAGATTGAAAATACCAATTCACTGCTTTTGTGTTATAGCCATGGGGTTATTTTTTGGAATGATGTTTGACAGAAGGATTGGGAAGATTTGCTCACAAGCAGAGGGAGGGTTTTCTTTTTTTCTGAAAAACTAGGCTCTATTGAATCTCTTTCTTTTTTTATAACCTTCGCTTAACAAAAGGATTATGAAATGCACAGTGAGAGAGAGTGAGAAGAAAGGATGCAGGAAGAAATAAGACCAGTCTAATCTAAGTTGTTGCTTCTATTAATCATTTGAAATGAAAAGCTGTCAGATTGCTCTCTCTCAGCTTTGGGTCATAAAGGCTCTTGCTTAGAAATTAAGGTGCTGAATGGAAATCTTTTCAATAATTTTTATAGACTTTTGAGGTCTGTAGCTCCTTTTTCACTTGGTTTACATCTGATTCCATTGCTTTCAGTGAGATGAGACTGGTTCTCAGTGTCTGGAAGAATTGATATTCAATTCAATTAGCTAAATTCTTTGCTAGGTATAATTGCATAATTCCCTTGCTATAAGTAGAAAATGTAGGAGGATATAAGGGTAAACTTTTAAATACATTCAGTATTAATGAAACCCCAGGGCACTCGGGGTGAGGACAGACATAACACTTAGACTAGTTTAAAGGCCACAAGAGCCCCAAGGACTCCAGTGTCAGCCAATGAAAGGAAGTTGATCAGTAGGGGTGTGCGAAGTGGGCCGTATTTGATTCAGATTTGGATTCAGCCCAAATCAGGGGCAGTGATTCGATTCGTTGATTCGGATCACTGTCCCTGATTCGATTCAGCCAAATCTGAATCTGAAGATTCGATGCTGATTCAGAGAATCAGCAATTCAGACATAGACACAGCTTTAAATGTTTTTTCTACATACCTCGAGGTACCAGTGCGGCTTGTGAATGCTGTGATGCTGGGGCACATGGAGCGTCCCACAGGAGTACAGGCCCTCCACATGCTCAGCGGCAAACCCTGAAATGGACCAGAAGTGCTTCACTCCATGTGCCCCAGCATCCATAGATTTCACAGACATTAGGGGCTGGAAGGGACTTCATGAGGCAGGAAGTCAGCAAGTGACCCCAGCAAGAAAAAAGCGTGACTCCAACCCAAAGCCTTTGAATCCCTTCACCCTCTAGAAGTCCAATACGCTATCCATTGCACCACAGAGCCACCTACTAGGTAGATGCACATGCTACCTATAGGTATGTAGAAAAAACATCTAAAGCTGTGTCTATGTCCGAATCTCTCCGACTTGATTTGGAGGTTCCGATTTCAATTCAGAGGGATTAAAGGGTCCTCTGATTCAATTCGGATTTGGAGACTCAGCCACCAAATCAGGCTGAATCTCTGCTGAATCAAATCTGGTACCGAAGCTTCATGCAGCCCTACTGATCAGATCCTTAAAATCAGGCACACAGAAGCACAGTCCAGGCAGCTCCACTCCAATCATTTGGACAACTCCTCTACTTCCAAATCAGCTCAGGTTGCACCAAACCGTGGTCCATTTTCAGGAATCAAAGTAAACTTTGTGGCTTTGGGGGAAAGTGCTTTTTAAAAATTGCAATAGCTCTGATGGCTCTAGACACCCAGCTCCAGGGAATCCAAAAGCAAGGATCCAGCCCCCTCTCCCAACTCCCCCCCTCCCCCCCTAGGCACTCCAGTCAGGGTACCATCACACAGATTTCAGTAATATGCAGGACTGGATCTTTATTGAACTCAGTGTTAGCAAGGATGGGGAACAAAAAATTGCATTTGAGCTGTGTATTCATTGCTACCCCTCTGCTGGAAGTCTTTTAGCACTGCAATGCCTAAAACATGAGGGTGAGGACTGCTCTGACCCTGGACAGTTGTGAACTGGTTTCCAGTCAGTCGGTGACATTCTTGGAATGGTTCAACTGTCATGTCTATCTGCACCCTCACCCTTCAGGGCATTCTATAAGAGTTTAGCTTTACACCTCCAATTAATGCCAGGGAAGAACCATGGTTCCTATTCACCCAGGAAACTACAGGCCTGTTAGTCTTACCTAAGTCCTGTGGAAGCTTTTTGAGAAAATTATCCAGGAGCACATCTGCAAGGGACCAGCAGGGGGGATCATGCTTAAGGGCAGCCAACATGGGTTCATTCAAGGCAGGTCCTGTCAGACCAACCTGGTGGCTTTCTATGACCAGGTCACAAAATCACAGGTGTCGTAGTGGACATAGTCTTTCTGGGCTTTAGGAAGGCCTTTGACACTGTCTCTCACCCCATTCTAATAAAGAAATTAGGCGACTGTGGTGTCGACACCTACACAGTCAGATGGGTTGCAAATTGGCTGGAGGGTTGCACTCCAGCATCCTTTCCTAGCCATGGTAGGTGGTTGGACTTGATGATTGTGCAGGTCCCTTCCAACCCTACCAAGTATGAAACTTTGAAATTTTGGACGCAAATTTTGTGTAGATGGTTGACTCTTTTGCTATGGTATCAGGTAGTATTGTTAGGGGATTCTCATTCTCTGTCTGGAATATTTCAGTACTGTTTACCACAAATTTTGCTTAAAAATGTGGTTTCAGAAGTAGCCAATAGAGCCATGCCAATCTATACTTCTCAACCTGGAAGGACGCGGACAGTGGGGTTCCGCAGGGCTCGGTCCTCAGGCCCACGCTGTTCAACATCTTCATCAGTGATTTGGACGAGGGGGTAAAAAGCACCCTGTTCAAATTTGCTGATGACACTAAGATGTGGGGGGACGTGGGCACACTAGAAGGAAGCAACAGGCTACAATCAGACCTTGACAGG